GACCACACCTTTACCTATTCCAGCTCTGCCTTCAAAATTAACGTAGACAAAATGATAATCTGCAGAAAATGTTCCTGGTTCAAACATGACTTAGGGACGTTAGCTGAGCTGTTGCAGTACCAGATCTGTTCTCAGCGTGGGGTCTGGGGTCTTGCAAGTTAGGCCACGCAGGCGTCACGCAGGGGTCTGTATCAGCAGCTCTTCGGCACAGACTTGAGCCCAAGGCCCCCACGTTAGGTAATTACGCAGGTAATTCCAGTTCCCTTCTCATGAGTTTGGGCAGCTGTTGAGATTTGCATGATTATATTCATTCATTAGAATAATCTGTCACCCCCCTCGCATGCCAAATGGATATTTGTTACCAAAGCGAGAAGCAGGTGTTGCTTGAGCCGCCACGTCAGGACAGACTTTATTTGGGACAGTGGCAGGGGAAGAATGAAACTGAACCAGAATTCACAGAAAGTGATAGGAACAGCTTTCAGCATTGCATCTTGGCCACCAGCAGCGTGCCTGGCTAGAGAGGAGACTCCTCTCTGTAATAAAGATTAAATTAAACCTTTGCCGAGATGTTGTTAGTTAGCAACGAAGTGGGACGCCGCTATGTACGCCTTCAACAGAGAGATAGGATCTAAGATGTGGAAATGACTTGGGTAACATGAGACTGTTGAAATACATCATCTTCCTGGAGACTGAAGTGCTTGAATTGTGGACAGACACGAACGTGTGAAGATCTCATTTCTTCCGTGTGGTAGGACCCCTCTCCCCTTTGAAGGCAAGCAGGCCTGTTCCCTTGTTCTGAAGACCACGTGGGTTTCATTACCGGTCCAGCCATGGCATTTTACGGCGCACTCTGCCAGGACAATGTGGTACCCCACGCGGAGGAAGGCTTTTGCTGTCTGGACATGCCTGTCAGATCCAGACTGGGGGTTGTACGGGCACAACAGGCTGTGTTGGGGAACGTACTGCACCCGAGCCGTTGCCTTCCCCGCCTGTGCACTATCTAAACGCAGTTACAAGGCGTCAAGGAGCTAATTCACTCCTTAGACGTAAAGTCAAACGTGCTCCAACGTTGAGGCCAGGCAGCTGTTTCAAGATCACAACAGCTTTAAATAGATGGTAAGCCTGTAGTAGCAAGCTGGAGTAGGCTGGTAGTGTGTGCCTCGTAGTGCTCTCGTTCTGCTGCCGCAGGGACGCCAGACCTTTCTTCGCTGTTGCTCACCTAACAGGGGGCAGCGACCAGCAGCTAACCAAGTACTGGTGTCAGCTTGGTTAAACATCTAGAAAGAAGTGGAATTAACTAAGCTGCTACAAGACAGTAGTCTAGCAACAATTAGCATGAACCTTGTTAAACATTTTAAGAACATTAATGAGCTCACCTAGAGAGACCTGAATTGTCATTTCATACCTGCTTCTTTTCCAGTGGGATCATTTTTAATAGAAATAAAATGTGATAATAATAACCTTAAACTGTCTTTTTAAGGGTAGAATATTGGATTTTATGACTTCTGAGGAAATATATTGGCAATACTCTCTGGCTTTTGATTGCTACTGAGAACACCAACACAATCTAACTTAGATAAGTATGAACTTGAATTCCAGGTTCCTGTGGGTTTTGTGGGATTGAACGCTGGCTTTTGTTCTCCCAGCCCTCCTTTTCCATTTCCCTTTCAGGACTGTTGAAATGATCCCATTTGTAGGATTTTTCCAAAGACTAAATAAAAAAGGAATTTGAACAATGAGCCCAACTTTTAATTAAAGCCAGTTACTTAAAGTACCCAAAAATATTTTGTGACTTAATTTCCATTTACTTTGAATATAGACTGTTAAAAAAGAAATCACAATATTGTTACAAAACCAGCTCTTGCAGCCAACACTGACTATCTAGGGAGCTCTCTTGCCAAGACTGAGAGCTTCACTAGACCGTGTATGTTTGCATAATCAAAGTATTAACAAGACGGTATCCCGTTCTGGAGCCGTTTCCATGCAGTCTGCGGCTGCCACTGCTGTTTGTTCCCAGAAACTGTTGTCTTTTTTAAATTTTTTTTTTTTTAATGTGTAAACTGGCTAATTTATTTTTGCATTGCTTCTGTTGTGTTTTAGGGGATTAGTCTTAAGAAAACTCCCCTCCACATTTTAAAGTTTAGGGGGAAGAGTTGCCAAATACACAACTGACTGGCAAAAAGTGACCTTTTGCGTGTGGTCAGTCTCAAATGAAATATAAATGGTACCACGTTATAGTTAAAATATTTTAAAACTTCCAGTTAGTCTTGAGAGTTTCCTCCCCTCTTTATTCTTGAACAAATTAAACCTGATCCTTTTAACCCATGTTTTATGGGGAAAATGGGGCTCAGAGTCTAAGGAAAGTAAATTGGAAGTTTGAGCATGGAAGGAGCAATAGATACAAGCCCTTGGCTCTGCTGTAAGTGCGCTGGGAGACGGGGGAAGCTTTTTAAAAGGTCAGTGCTGAATAGCAAACGGCTGACATACTCAAATGTTTATCTTACAGCTCTCTCTGCTTCTTACATATGACCTGTGAGAAGTGTTCTTGCACTTCCGAGGTTTGTGTTTGTTTGTTATATTAAGTAGGTCTTCTGAAAGTAGAATTCCTTTTTTTTTCTTTTTTCTTTTTTTCCTTTTTTTTTTTTTTTTAAATCTCACAAAACGCAGCAGCACGGACTCCTGTACTGCTGAGCTGTTCGTCAAGGACTCCTGCAAACTCAAGCGTCCTGTGATTCTCAGGAATCCAGTACTTGCTCGGTCATCTGTCATGTTTTCAGGATAACCGAGATTTGAACTGCTGTTCCTTCCACCACGATTTTTAGAACAGCTGCTCTTGTTTTAGTCACAGAAAGGCAAAAAAACCACCTTGCTATTTTCCTCCTCCTCTTCATACGTATTTTCTTATCCTTAAAGAAATGTAAGTACCTTTCAGAGCTGCAAACTAGCCAACAGCTCTGAAGGCTACACCTTCCAAAGCGTTACTTATTGCGTGTAGCGTGAAGCAACGCAGGAGAGAGGCAGCAGTGAAACTTCTGCAGTAGGTTTTAGGTTGCTGTAGGCTGGATAAATTTATTGCTTTGTATCTCTGAAGCCAGTATCTTCCAAAGCTGTTCACCTAACAAGCCAGTTCTACAAGATGCAACGTGTCCTTGGGAAGGAACAGGTTGGAAGATGTCTACGGAGCCCTCCTCTCGTTCGTGGCCGTCTGGGCCAGCTCGCAGCAGCCTCAGCGCGCGGCGTTAGCGTTGTACGTGCGTGATTCGGCTCTCCGTGGCACGTTGAAAAGGGGCAGTTCTCCCAAATCCGGCCCATTCCAAAGGAAGCTGCGGGGAACTTATTTTCTGTTTGGGATCTTCATGCATTAGCTGAAAACCAAATGACACCCTTGCACCTCTGACCCTTCTTGGATCTGGCACGTGCTCTTTATCCAGCAACTGCCGAGTCAGAGCCAAGCCGTCTTCCCGATGCCTCTCTTGGTGGGAGATGCTTTGGATGGAGCCCTGGATTTCCACTCCTTTGACGCAACTGACCCACCTTAGCAGATCTCACCTCAAGCAAGGGCTAAACTGACCTCCTCGGCGCAAAGGACCTCTTGAGTAGAAGACAAAATTCTGGAGGAGCCCTGCTAAACAGCGTCAGCCGGTGCTGCTGCCTCTAGTTCAGCGTCTGTCTGTCTTCCTCTGCTAGAAGCCCCTGAGAAAACCGTCTCCCAGCGAATTCATTGGCAGGGCCTCTTTCCTCTCTTCCTTCCCTGAGAGGCTTCAGGCAAAGCTGTGGACAACTCCCGACACCTTTTCTTCCGAGGAGAGCCTCTCCAGCACGCCGAGGTCTCTTCCCTGCCAGCCCCACGGCTCGGCTGCTGTGCTCTAGCCTGGAACCCGCATGTCTGGCGTGGCTTCCCAAGTGTTTTTCCAGGTTGTCCTTCCGAGATCTATTGTGGTGGTTTCCTGTTTATTTCTGCAGCCCTCTGTTGCGTTGAAGCCGTGTGGTTCAGTCAGGAAATTCTACGCCTCGTACGCAGTCGTTTCCCTTCGCTGACCCCGTTGCCCGTCGCGCTTTGTGAAGCGGCTGCGCTTCGGCGCTGGGCACCCCGCGTCTGTGCTGCCCGTCGCGCGGCGTCACGCGAGGGGCTTTGTCGCAGGAGGAGCCGCAAACCCCCCCGTGCCTTCTTGTGAAACCATCCGGAGAGGCCTGGCGGGCGAGCGCCGGGGGGCTCTGCGCCA